TTGAGCGCCAAGGCGATGAGGATGGAGTAGTTCACCGGAGGACGGGGCCAGCATCCAGGCTTCAGCGTCTTACTGTCCTGGGATTAGAGACAAAGAGCCTGAAACACCTGAACACACCACAAATGTGTTTAATTTTCAAGTACACATGGATGACATATACGTATGATATTCTCCAAACTTCAGACTTTATTGATGAATTCACAACAATCAGAGTTAACATTCGGATAAAAGGCTTCTTTAGGCGCCAAGTTCAAGAAGCTAATCTGCTCGTCTTGCTGCGTTTTATCAGATCTGACTGAGAGCGACGACAACATCTCACAACTGTCCTCACATTTCATCCAACTACTGCTCACTGTGGAATACAGACGACAACAGATCACCATTAAATAACACAATCTGCTCTAAAGCCTGCAGGCAAAACCCACCAAAAACCAAGAAAGCAGCTTCTTAACCCTGACATACTGTCATATTTTATGAATTCCTGTCAAGAATGACCTCACAGTGAGCGTCTAGACTCCAGATCTATTTAGAATGTCTAAATAACTGATGTCACAGTTTCCAGATTCCCTAAAGCCCCCATTTTCCTTGATTTGACCTGAACTGGTAGATCTAAAATCCATCTCAGTGGATGTACGGGTCACATTTGAACCAAAGCAGCCTCAGTGTACAAACACTTGCAGCACCTGTACAAAAGTATAACTTCTTAAACTATTTTCATTTGGGTCACTTCAGTAAAAGACATTTAGGGTATTTTTACTGCTGTCAGATGTCAAAACGGGTCAAATGTGACCCAAAACAGTATGTAGGGGTTAAGAAGGTGATGAATGGACTTCCTACATCTCACTGAAGGAACGTGGTGCAGAGCGTCCTCACCCTCGGCTTCGGGGTTCTTCCTTTACGCCTGTTCTTGGCTGGTCGACGGGAGGCGTCTTCAGTCTTGATCTAAAAGGTCAGCGATGGTGAGATCATGAATCCAAATGAGCGACTGTGATGAATGTCTGGGAGAAACATTTTGGCTAATTACTGAGCTTCAGAACAGATCTTCAGAAAACCTATCGGTTCGACCATCTTTATGCACAGTCTAGGGGTTTCGTCAGTTTTTAAAGAAAGACTTTAATGCGGGTTCTGTATTTGGATCATATGCCTGTGTGAATTAAAAAAATAAAAATAAAACCGAGCTAACAATGTGAAGTTCCAGCTGAAAGGTCATGAATTAAAGCTTTGGCTGCATTCTGATACCATCCATATGTGGTACCTGGTGTTCCACATCATGGGCTTTGAAGTGGTCCACAGGTAAAAGGCTACACCTGGTTTGGCATTTATGGGCCTTGAAGATGAAAGATGGAAGCGACCGGGTTACAGATTGCTGAAGGAGAGTCATCACACTGTTTAGAGCAGGGGTGTCCAATCCTGGTCCTCGAGGGCCACAATCCAGCATGTTGTAGATGCGTCCCTCTTCCAACACACCTGATTCAAATGGTCAGGATCGTTATCAGGCTTCTGCAGAAGCTTCTGCCTGGATTGCGGCCCTCGAGGACCAGGATTGGACGCCCCTGGTTTAGAGAATAGGACTCCCGTTAACAACTGCCCTGTATAAGCCAGTGGTTAAGGTTGGTCTGGAGGGGGATTCTTTCTGGCTTCGACTCCTCTCACAGGCAAACCATGGTGTCTGAGGTACTACACTTGTTTCAACAAACCTTTTTACAAAACAACAAGATGGTATCAGCAGAGAATTTCTTCATCATCCTCACATCATCGCTACTTAAGAAACGACACATGCATACCAGGATGTCCGACTTCATCTGGGCAGATTTTGTAGTTTGCAAGCCAGCAAGCTTTTCTATCATTCTGACCCACAATCCTCTGCACAGCTTCGTCACAAACGTTACACTTTCTCCTGAGTATGAACAATTTTGGTCCACTGAGAGCACGCAGACGACTCATCACACACTGCAACGGTTAAAGCTTAAGATGCAATATTATAAGTAATCTGTTTTAGTTGTTTGCACACTGCGTGAATACTTTGTGAACGCAGCTGCAGTCCGGCCTTAAAGTAAAACATTTGGACCACAATTTATAATCGGCTGACGATAATCTAAATGTGACATAATGAGCATTTAATCAGACAAAAATCCTCTCGTAGTCTGAACCTGACATTGTTCCAGCTGTGTGTCCATTGATCCTCAGATCTACTCACATAAAGTCACAGGGAGTTAACAAAACAACAACACTGTGAATACATGCAGCTAAAATGTCCTCCGTTCCGACTGTGCACAGTACTAAAGCTTTCCTTGACCTGGGACCTGCCATGTTCACTTGCCTAATTTCCACAAAGAGACCCAAACATAATAAAACTAAGACATCTACAACCCTGATAAATGAAAAATCCTGTGATCAGAAGCCTTTGTCAGACACAGATCGATTTTTAATTCCAGAAATAAACGAGGTGTTACTGTATATTTAGCACAATATGCATCTTAAAACTGTCTAAACAACATGGTATGTACATTTTCTATACATCAACTGGGGGTAAATGACAGTTGGTGCATGTAGAGCGACTGGTGCTGATGTGTTTGTTGTGTACCATGAACTCAGCGCTGGAGGAAACGGTTTGCAGCAGCTCCTCCTGCAGAGATGCATCGTTGGCAGCAAACACGTGGAGGTCAGCTGCAGGTGGACGTCGAGTCTCTGCTTTTGTTCCCTCGTCGGCTTCACACAGATCGCCCGAAGCTTCTCGGTACTGGATCGGACAGGCGATGTTGGGATTCACCAGCAGCCACAGGTTCGGTTTCACAAAGGTGTCTGACGGGCAGAAGAAAAACAACAAAAAACAGGGAGATAGTTAACTTAGAGTAAAAAAAACATGTCAGATCAGGAACAAACAAGCGGTTGCCATGTTTTGATGAGCTGCTGCCCATTTTGTTTGTTCGTCACAGTGTCTTAGTCGCCATAAAGAACAACATTCTGATGCAAATGTGTGATGCAGGCAATCTAAAGAAACAGAGTTAAAGAAAAGAAAAGGGCAGCGAGGACATAATGGTTGATGAAAACACTCGACACTGAAATAATAGGATTCAGTATTTTACAGGAATAGTTTGACATTTAGGAAAACTTATTTGCTTTCTTTTCAACCATTCATTTGATCTTAATTTAAACATTATGGAACCGTTATGGGGAACAACAGCAGAGTAAACAGAGAAAATGAACAAAACACAGTTAAAGCTATATTCACTGTAATCATGGGTTTCATTTACTGACATTTTGCGGCAAAATGTTTCAGATTTGTGCAAAACTAAAAGTTTTTTCCCCTTTCAGCACAAATGGAACTTCAAACCAAATCGCTTCAACAAGTTGAATAATGACTTTGGGACTAATTTCATAAAGGGTTCACGCCTTGTTGCTCAATCTGAATTCATCTTGTTAAATCCAAACCTGAGCCTCTGAACTCACTGGGCTTCTCTGAGAAGTCAGAAATTATTTAGGCATAATATTCAATCCCTCAAACTAATTTTTCTGTTCAGGAATGCAAGTAAACAACGATAATCTGACAGCTTAAATCAAGAAATATTAATGTGAATTAGTATTTTTTCTTTTTCTTTTTTTTTTTGTAAAACAGTACATTTGAAAATTCATGGATAACAATAATAATTAGATTTTAGCATTAAAAATATCATTTTGGTTAAAGAGCTTCTAGGTAGAACTTTAGAACTTTTCCTTGTTTTTATATTGAGTCGTCCTCAGATGTATTCATAGCCGCCCATTGAAGAAGGAAAACAACAGCTGCCACTGAGATAAGTTGAAAATGACAAAAGTAATAATAAATCATGAAGATCATCACGTTGCTTTTGAATTGTGGTTCAACAGAAATGCAAAAAAAAAAATTAAAAAAAACACAAGCAAACAAGCATGATGGGCCCCGTGAACTAATATTTAGTTGAACATCCCTTTGAGTCAATCACTGCCATCCGGTGTTTTCTGTAACTCTCAGTCAGACTTCTGCTCCTGTTGACAGCTATTCTGATTTCACTGCTCATCAGCAAAGTGCATTAATTTGTCCGGAACAGTGTTTTTTTTATTTATTTTTTTATTACTCTTTTCAACCACAATTCAAAAGCAATGTCTTATTTCACTAAATTATAATTTAGCAAATTTTTATTTCTTATTACTTTTTCAGTTTTTAGTTATTTGAGGGACTATTGTGAATTTTGCCTTTTATTTAATGGGAGGGGATGAACACATTTGAGGACGACTGTATATTTCATATATATGTCCACTCTGTTATTTGTATATAAGGAGAGAAGTCACGGTGCAATTTAATTTTACATTATATAATGACAATAAAACAGACTCTGATATCTAACTATGTTCCAAAAACATCTTACCAGCATCTCTAACTACCACATTCTACCTTGTTTGTTTTCATTTACATTAAACTCACATCAGACAGACAGATCCTCTCATCTAATGTTCATCTCACAGAGCAACCAGCTATAATTAGTTACATAAACGTACTTAGTTACATTCCACCACTGGGATTACTCGACAGTAACAGAGTTTGTCCTTTAAAGAACTATTTCCCCAGCGTCTTTAAGCTCACCTGATGTTTTGTCGTACCAAATGAACTCATCTTTCCTCCTCGAGGCTCTTGCTGAAGGTCTCTGGACGACGTACTGATCGTTCAGTTTGTCATCTGTCAGCAGAGAGAAAAACAGTCGAAGATTTTAGAGACGATGGAGACGACACGAACAAAACACACAACAGAGGACAGACGAGTGAATCATCAGGACCGATATTAAATAATAAGAAAAACTGACTTGTTAGTGAATAAACATGTGAAAGCAGCACAGAATAACTCAGAGCCTTACTGGGTTCCATTTATAAATTAACCCCTTAAAAGACATTTCCACGATAAATTCATGGAGAAAATGAACAATTTAGTGCAGAAAAATTCACCAGAATGCAGGAAATGAGGTGTTGGATGACTATGCAAACACACAGAGGGGTTGTTCACCTTCATTATCTCTGATGTCACTGAAAAGTATTTGATTTATCAAGTATTTTCTGAGGTAAAGGTTTTTGGAAATTTGAGGCCATTTGAAAAACAAAATCTCAGGAACTATGAAAGATCAAATTTTCACAGTTATTTCTGATCATATCATTGATTCAGAATCAGCAATGTTGAACAAGTCGATCAAAAAATCTCAGATTATGGGTGAGGGTTAAATATAAACACACACAAAAAATGAAGCTTATGAAATGTTTCATGTTTGAATACAAATTAACCCAAAAAAACAAAAACAACAACAACAACAACAAAAAACCAACTAAATAATGCAGAAATGAACTCTTCCCTGAACCATATCAGATCTACTTGTGCATTTTTACAGAGTCTAAATCAATGACATGATGAGAAATAACTGTGAAATGTTCTGGCTTTTGCCTTAAATAGTTCCTCAGATATTGTTCTTCAGATATGTGCTGAATGTGGGTTGACGGGCAAATTTAAATTTGAAATAAAATCTCTTGATATATGAAGCTAACATGTCCCAGATATCTTTATAAACATCCATATTTAATGATATTAAAACTTCCAGTACATCAGAGGCACTAGAGCAGAATTTTACCACAAATGTGATGATTTGAGTTGGGATGAACCAATAACTAATGACAGCCTTTAAAGCAGCTGATTCAACCTTCAGACTGTTTCTGGGAATAAAACAAAAGCTTGTTTCTGACTGTGAAACGTTCTTCAGTGCTGCTGGATGGGGTTCCTGTTTGGAATGAGAGTGAAGACAAACTCCACAGACAATATTAACAATGAAAACTGTCACCGTGGTAAAACTGGTCGGACGTAGTCGCCAGCTTCAGCTCCTGGTCCATGTCCCAGTCGGTCAGAGCCACGGAACAGTGCAGGTCGAAGAGCCGGGCTTTGGTTCGGAGCTGTAACGTCATGTCAGCTTGAGCCTCATCAGAGGAAGCTCAGTGATCAGAGAAGAAGGAAACTGAAGGAGCTGGTTCAGCAGCTGGAGTCCGACAGCCTGATTGGACTCATTAAACCTAACAGAGTTCAGCCTGTGGTGAAGGGAACGTTTGGGCCTGCAGGAGGCAGATTGTAGGTAAATTAGAAAGTGATAATCACTTGCATAAATTCATCTGTGAACTTCTCAGTTTAAACAAACAGTGGTCATTAAATCAATGTTCTGTTTAGATCATGTAACTGAACAAACTCCACTCAGCAGGTGATGCAACCGAAAGCTCCTGAAAAATCTAAATAAGCGGCCCCCGTTTTAATCAAAATGTAGAAAAATAAAAAAGAAAATTATCTTTTTAAATTCACTTTGAACTATCTGAGACACCACCGACTGAAGCTGCATCTCACGATTATTTCATTTTCTTGATTATTCAACCAGTTCATTGATCTGCAAAGTGTCAGGAAATGGAGATAAATGTCAGTTTGCTGTCACAGAGGAGGACAGAAACCAGAAAATATTTACTTTTAAGGAGCTGGAATTAGAACTTTCACTCATTTTCATTTTAAAAAAATCAACTGAAACAGTCAAAATTGTTATTTTAAATGTGAACATGACTATTTGCTGCCGTTTTACTGCTGACGGACAATTTCATATGTAAACATATAAAACACAGACTTACAAAGACACATCCACTCAGTGTTGTCTTGTAGTTTGTCCTATTAAATTCTTTTTCACCCCCAACACGTCTGTTTGGGGATCAAGGTCTTGGGGTTCAAATCACAACAAATCTGGTAGAAATGACTCACGAGTCTCAGATTCCTTCAGACCTGCTTTAGTGCAGTTTAGTCTGTTTATTTTTCCTCACATTTACAGTACACATTTCACAAACAACAGATCAAAACGGTAATAAATCAATTTGTACAGCATGAGAAAACAAAATCATAGAGTCATCTTTAAATATCTATATCTCTTTGTATACTTTAAACATCACGTTCGTCTTACGCCCACGAGATTTTGCCTCATTCCACTAAGTTCCAGGAGCAGAGAAGACCGCAAGCTCCTGTTGAGTTTTTAATATTAAACAACAAACTATGGAGACGAGAAATCAGGAGGGACTCACACGTTTCACTCATTAGTTTTTTTGAAAGGGAACCCACAGTAAAATCACCAGACATGCTGACCAACGCTAGCACTAAAAACAGGAATAAATACAGGTTTACAGAGCCTGACGGCGGCCGAGCAGAGGAATGTTTCACGTCTGTCTGCGTGGAGCTGGACAGACCGAGGGTCACGCGAGGTTCAGATTTGGGATTTTGATCTTTTTAACTGGATCTGAAACGCACTGCAGCTGCGTCGGTGTTTGCTGCTCAGACTTCTGCAGAAAAATAAACCCAAAGCTTTTCTTTCTATAGTCTGAGTAAATTGCAAATTCTTCCTGTGGTTTATTTATGGTGGTGTGCAGCTGATGCGTCGGGCGAACAGGGCGCGTCGCTCTAACAACACAATGAGCTGGAGAAGTTTGGACAAACACAAACAAGTGTTTGAAAGTCAAATGGGTTAAAACGAGCAGCAGGCTCCTTTGCTGAACACAGATCACCTGATCGTTCTCCGGTTAAAAGCTGGATTTTAGCTGTTTTTACTTTGGAACAACAAGAAATTCTGTTGTCGAGAATCAATTTACACCTACGAGTGAAGAATGGAGGGAATTTAGCACGAAACCATCAGAGTCTTCAACACCGAGCCGCGACCGAAGACTAAAGAGTGAATGAAATGATGACGGGGAGAGGAAGAGGAGGCCGAGAGGAGGAGGAGGAGGAGGTTAAAAGATGGGAATGTAGTTGTCGATTTTGGCGCGGTGCCGCTGGGCGATGCACTCGGCGATCCAGACGATGTTCCTGCACTCTTGTTCCTTCAGCTTGACGTAGGCGTAGAAGACGCTGAAGTGGAACTGGTTGAGGAAGGCCAGCTTGTTCAGCTTCACCTGGAGGAGGCAAAGAGGAGGAGTTACATTTGTAAAATTAAAAACAAAGAACGTGGTTGAAGTCTAGTTTGTTAAATTAAACTTTATCCTTCTCCTGTTCCAACAAGGCGGGCAACAGTCCATGAAGTTTTCTAGTTCTGTAAATGTCGTGGATTTGTTCCTGCAGCTCCATCATGTCTCCATTTGACCTAAATCTTTCTATTAACTGAACCCCACCTGCATCAAGTCCCGTATTTAGATGTAAAACTTGATGTTAATCCTGTAACATCTCACATAAAGCCACGGATGTGATTTAAAAATGCTCAACTGCAAAAAAAATTGTAAACTCAGATTTTTATTTTCATCTTTTTTGTAGTTTCAGATGTTTTCCTGTTGCTGTATTTCTTCTGAGTGAATTTAACATTCTACTAATTTGCTTATTTATTATTTTTATGGCTAATTTTATCTTCTTGTCATGGGTGCACATTAGCAACAACAACAGATCAAATATTTCTCCATACAAAGGCGTACATGTGAATCAAACTGTTGGTTGTAAAACACACATTTTATGCATTTTAGACTCGATATTTGTTCTGTGGCGTCTCACATAAAACTTGTGAACCTCAGATATGATTGAAAGGTGCTTACCTGCAGCAAACTGTAAATTCAGGGTTTTAATTTTGTTCTTATTTAAGTTTATTTAGCTTGCCTTATATCTGCATAGCTGTATTTATTCCTAATAAATGTAATATGTATTTTTTTTAAAAAATATTTATATTACACATTTTCATCTGTGGGCTGCACCGTTGCCTCACAGCTAGAAGACTTCAAAAATCTGATTCTGACTCATTCTTGATCAAATATATGGAGCAAAAGTAACTGCGTTGACTAAACTTCCCTGCAGACACACCCGTGTACACTCAGTTAACTGTGGACAACATGATTCTAATTACTACATGATAAACCGCGGAGCTTTCAGACTTCGTATGTTTCTGTATTCAGGATGTAAAATATGCGTGAAGATGTGTCACCTCGTGCTCAAAGAAACGGTCCTCCAGCGTTTTATCTCCCGGGTTGCTGCCGGCGCCTTCAAACAGCAGCTTGTACTCCTGAAGACACAAGAACCGAGTTCAGGCACAGATACAGACTTTTAACTGAGAGTTTAAACCGCACGATGGGTTTATGAAACTCGTCTCACAAAACAGTGACTTGGACGCCAACAGAAGAAGGAAAAACAGGCAGCTGTACGACAAACTGGACGGACGCATGTGAAACCAACGGTGTTCAGATGATTACAAAACTTTTCCTTCCCGTTCATATAAAAAAAAAAAGTCAAAATGATGACACAGAAACTGGCACGTTCATCGTATTTCCTTGACTTATTTCAAGCGTAAATGCTCGGGCCACAAGGCTTTAGACTCACAGGATAGAAATCAGCGACGGCCTTGACTTGCTCGTAGTCATCTGCACGGGCCAGCTGCGCAAGGCCTTCTGGGTAAAGCTTGCCGCAGTGGGGGAAGAGCTTGGCACGATCCTCCTTGGACAGCTCTGTGCCGAACGAGTTGATGGTGATGATGAAGGCTCGTCTGTCGGCCTCGAACTGCAGCAGAGACACGAGGATTTATGCAGGAAGAACAGAGTGTGTTTGACATGTTTGTCACTGTCAAGACATCATAAAGTCAAACAGACGTGATCAAAAGTGTACATACACCTGTAAACACCAACTGTATCACGGCAGCCTTGAAACACACGGGTCTCTGTGCATCTTGACGTTTAATAGGTCTTACAGAAACAACTGTCTTTACAAATGAATGTAAACCTTTGTTCACGACTGTTTACTGCTTTATTATGACAAAACACATTCTACAGACAGTTCATGTGTTGCTTTGTGATTCTTGTCAATACAAAGTACTCATTAGTGTGAGCGTTTACTTTCCCCCTAAAGACAGAGCAGAACTCACCTCCAGAATGGGACACATGGTGTCGGCCGTCGTTCCTCCCAAGTTGGAGCAGAACTTATAAAAAGCCTCCAAATAAGCCTGAGAGGAAAAAAAACCCAAAACGTTTTTTGAGGGACTAAACCAGTCAAATTTAAACACACATGTAAAATGAGAGCAGTTCTTAATTCAAATGTTGCAGCTCAAGCAATTAGTCTTTAATTATCTAATTAAATACACAGATAAACTGGAGTATTTAGTAGTAGTAATTATTTTTAATCTACTGCCCATTTTTTCATTGTAAAAGTTTTTTTTTTTAGGGCTCTCATTAGCTGGTGTTACGTTCATGAGGAGTAAAGCTCGACATCAACAGCCTTTCTAGGATTACTCCATTCGTTCTGGCAGCAGGAGGAACAGACTTGCTGTGGACAGCCATCATGTTTGTACAATTTTGAACTGGTCCAACCTAATGGAGATCGCTTGGTCTAATTTATGCAACCTGTGTCATGGACGTCGTGTCCTTGGGCAAGACACTTCACCCACCTTGCCCAGTGTATGAATGGATTGTTGGAGGTGGTGGTCGGAGGGGCAGATGGCAGCCACGCCTCTGTCAGTCTGCCCCAGGGCAGCTGTGGCTACAATCATAGCTACCACCACCAGGATGAATGTGTGCGAATGAATAATTGACAATTGATTGTATGCGCTTTGAGTTACTCCTTGAGTAAGAAAAGTGCCATATATATAAACCTAATCAATTATTATGTACTTTACTTTGGAGCCGTCTCCAAACTAACTGACCTCATGTCAAAGAAGACGCCATTAATGAAGGATTATAATCACGTCTTGTAAGCTGTATATTAAAGTATGAAAGTCTCTTTAAGCTGGATATTAATACACAAAGCAACCTGGATATTAAAGAACCAGAGAGTCACATTCATAGACATTAAGGCACCTTAGGCTCTAAAACCTGGATTCAAATGCACGCAAGTGTCAACATCCTGGATATTCACGTCCCAAATATTCAAAAGCCTGAATATTAACAACTTAAAGTGAAGTGTCCTACATGTGAGCTGTTACTGTGGTATGTTTACCTTGTAAAGTGTGTTACGAATGATTTCAATGTTCATTTCGTCCAAGTCCTGCTCAGATATACAGTCCTGGAAGAAGGCGGCTGGAAGGAAAAGAAAACAGGATTTACATCAAACCAACATGATGTTTGCTTCAGATTTGGCGCCACCTCCTGTTCACTCTGACACATGACTATTCAGGTTTCTCCCTTAGTTTTTAGAAGACAGCTCATACAGAGGTACGTACCCAGGGGCGTGTCCACCAGGATGGCGTTGTAGAGCTCGGCGGGGGTCTGGGCGATGTTGACCGCCTCCATCTGCTCGAAGCTGCCCAGCGGGTGACACTTGGGCACCAGCTCGGAGATGGCTCGCTGGTGCAGAGTGCCGGTGATCAGCAGGATGACGTTATCGATCATGTAGCTGTACCTGAAGACAGCAGGTGGGAAGGAGGGAACGTCAGGACAAAGCAGAGACTTTGGTTTATATCACTCTGACTTGACTATTATCTCTTGTGTTTTCATATATATATATATATATTATACTCTTCAGTACACTTCACATTACTGCTGACAGTTTCTTGCAATTTTAGTTTAATTTCCAACCTTGCACTGATTGGAGTTGTTGTTAGTGGGACTACAGCTAACAGTTGTTGATATTATGCATTTACTGGGTTTTTACTTTCTTCTAACACTTATGATTATTGTGATTAATTAATAATTTGGTCTATAAAACATCATAAAACTGCTAAAATTCTCCTGGAGAACTGAGCAACATCACTAAATGTGTGCCAAAAGAAAAGCAGCACACTGTCATGTTTAAGAACCTGAATCCTGTCTAAAAAAAAAAAAGTAAAGATGAAGCGATGATCAGAGCAGTAAACAATCAATTAGTTGACTCATTGTTGCAGCTCTACATTTCAGTACAGAATAAAACCAGCACGCTGAGACATGACATCTGCCTCAGACAGTTAATCTACGGACATCTAGTTGTCTTATTTTTGCATCAAATGCATTGAAGTGCACTTTATTTTAAAACTGTCCCTGTGTGATCCATTTACTGACACTTAAACACGACTGGACATCAACGTATAAAACTATGCCAGTAGTTTTTATCTTTTACACAACACTCCTCACATGGAGAAGTTCTGGATCAGCCGTCAGCCTGCATGAGGAGTGTTTCTACATGTTTCATGTGAGCCCACATACAAGAGAACATCCTGTCCATACATACATACTTATCTTTAGCATACAAGGCAGAAAATTAATTCATTGCAACTTTAAATCTACATCAGACACAGTTTACAGTAAATGTTAGAGCTCAAGAAGTCAGAGCCTTCAGTATTTCAACATGACAACTTTCGCTTACGTGATAAAGTCCATGAAGCTGGCCAACGGCTCGTACGACTGGTTCCTCATGTGGCGAAACTCCACCACCATCTTCTCCTTCAGCTTGTCGTCGATGACGGACACGGTGAGAGGAGACGCTTCGTTGGCCAGGAAGCTGCCATAGTCTGTGCTCTGCAGGTGGAGCTTCAGGTCTGCCGGGGCAACACCGGGGCAGAAAAGCTGATTACACAACCTCTGATCGGCCATAGAAGGTGTTTCTACCAAAAAACTACACGTAAACTGGCAAAAGGAGTGATCTGTTCACTGTTTCAGGTTCTCCAATGTGAGAATATCTCAGTTGTATTTAGTAAATTGAATCTTTTTGAGCTGCTAAACCGACAAAAAAAAAAAGGCCTTTTCCCTAAACTTGGGATGCTTTTCAAACCAAACAATTAAAACTGGTGCGTAATGCTTCTCTAATAAAAATAACGACCAACTGCAGCCTCATCTGTTAAAATGTACTTAGTCGACCAGTTATTTTCAGAGGTTTTATCCAATTTTCCGCAGATCCTGAGCACTTTACAACACCGCCAATTACAACTCACCTACACCTGGAATGTTGTCTGTTGAATCTTTTTTTATTTGCTAACCCTGCTGTTCATTTGACTGAGGATTGTGGCAGCACACAGCATCACTGTGTGCTTTTTCAGCTGCTAGCGAGGAGCTTCATATCCTTTGTTGTGTCCTGTATGCAGATTGTGTGCTTATCTGGTTATGAATGTTTCATGTTCTCTGGTCTTTCTTGGAAACAAACCCTCATCTTCATTGACAACTGCCTGATTAAATCCCTGCCCTCTTTGTGCAGGCGTGCACTAACCAAGTTGTTCCAGTTTTCACTTTTAACTGCTTTAAATACTAAAACAAAACAATATTACTTCAGGACGAGAGAATAAAACTGACAAACTGTCTTTAATTATGATATTCAAGTCATAACTAGGAAGCCAAGTAGAAGTCATGAGCTTTGGCCGCACTTTGCAAATGTTATATTGTCAACTTTGATATAGATCGATACTTTATTCATCGGCTTGGGGTAATTCGAGAAGAGATTAGTACACTTCTATTATATTTTGTAGGTACTGATGTGTAAAGATGAGTATAAGAACGTTTATTGTTGATGATGTGACTGTTTTGTGTCTCGAAATGCTTTTTGTCTCTTGTGATTGTACAAACGTTACTGCTTATATTTGTTATACACAAACAAAACATCAAAAGCATCAATACCAGTGTCAACAATAACTGGCAAAAACGACAAACAGAAGGAAATTTGAGGTGTCGAACATTTAAAATGTCACATCCCCAACTTTTACGCAGCTGTCGCTTTTCATTTGACTATAAAATAAACAGCAATTTCTACAGACGTGATGCAGACTGACATTGTTGGTGAAGTGAGACTCATGCTGTGTGGTGATGCAGACTTTATATGAATTTACAGGTACAACTGTATGATCACTGCAAGAATACGATGACTAAAAGCATAACCATTGTTAGTGATAAGCTTATATTTCACTGTTTGATTTTGATGCTGCACAGAAATTCATTAAAACTTCCTTTGAGTAGAAAAAGTGCAAATTTAAAGCAATGTTTTTGGCCGTATTAAGAAACACGGAGATGATCAGAATTCTTCATTGCTTAACAAGTAAACAAGAAGCATTTGCTGCAGTAAAACCTCGGTTAATTTGATGTTTGGTCACAAGCAGAGTTTTTCATCGTAAATACCCGTAATAAACCCGTGGGGGTTCTAGTTTAGAGCTAGCCAAAGCTAAGGAAACACGTCCTTTTGTCAGACTTTCAGTGTTTGACACAACAATGTAAAATCTCTTCCTATTATACTTTCACTTCCTCTAAAAATCCCATCATTGGTCAATAAAACATCTTGCTATAGTTGCTAAGAATACTTAAGCTAGCTAGCTAAAATATAGCCAGTAGCAAGCTTGAAAACACAAATTTAAGCAAATTTGTCGCATGCACGCATACAAACTGTCAATGTACAGTTTAATAAACATCAGTAAGTAGGAATAACAGAAAACACAGAGCTGCATAGTTCAGTTAAAGGCTATACGATCGCTAACGTAAACCAAGCTAAGCTAACTAGCTTTGAGGATGACAGCTTGCAGTTAGCTGGTGGAACTAGCACTGGCGGCTAACTGTTAGCCGCTAGCTGTCGTCGGCTTTAACTCACCTTCCAGCGTCTCACACTGAACGAGGTTTAAATAATCCGCCTGGGACAAGATTCCGGCTTTGAAGCCTCTCACCAGTCCCTCCAGGTAGCCATTATCGACGTTAAAATATAGCTCGGAGAAAGGCATCCTGACTGACCGCTGTCCGCTCCGTCTCTGCCGCAGGAGAACCGACCGTCCGGCTGCTTAGCGTTAGCATCAGCTGACAGGACCACGTGACCGTCATCTGATCAGTCATCTGCTGGGTGTGTACATGTGTAGGTGTGTGTATAAATGTGTGTATTGATCTATAAATTGTGTTGAAATCATTGTAGTTGTCTGAGAACACACACAGTAAGTGGTTTTGAGGTCAGACGATGTCGTATTCTGACAGTACAAAATAAGCCCCTGTGGTTTCTTAACAAAATATACAAACTTTTATTTCACATCAACAGGAGAGCCATGGGGAGGTTTATTCATTACTTTAAGCCTAAAAACATAAAAATAAAACATGTAAAATGTGTCAATGTCAGAGTTGGACTTTTGGTATTATTAGCTGTCTAATTGCTGACTTTATGTTAATCTTATAATGTTATGCTTTATTAGCACTACCGAGCTTGTTACTACTTCATATTAAACTAATAACAATATGCTATAATCCCTTGCTGTAGCACTAGCTAGCTTAATGTTTAAGCTAATAATAAATTTTCCTGTTGATCTGACATTGTTTTCATGTCATAAATTCAAATATAAATAATAAATGTAAAGGTTTAATTCCTAATTGTGATCTAACATCCATGCTGCAGTTACAGTTCAGACTGTTTTAATCACACTGATGTTTCAAACATTACTGTTTACATGCTAACAGGTAGCGTGAGCTCAGGTCAGAGGACCTGCTGTTGATGAGAGCTCCAGGGTCTCTGCACTCATTCAATCATGTTGAACACGTTGCAGGTTTAAGCTGCTGAGAAAAACTTCAGGATTGCTGCACAAATTGAAGGTTAAAGAGATGTGTTTTCAGTGGGAGACGAACCTGAACAGCTCTAGTTCAGAAGCATTGAAGAGACTGGAGGTGGAGACAAACCCATATAACAATCCTGAGCTCTGCATCCAGCTGCATGTTTTCAGGGTAGGTTTCCCGAGAGGTTGTGGATCCCAGAAACCTGAAGGAGGAGACACTGTGTTAAAGTGTCACATAGTATTACATAGAATATAGTCATACAATTGATCATGTTAGTGTTCTTTATTCAGCTACATGTTTTCAGGGTAGGAGTTGGTTTTGGGCATTTAGTGGTGATGGTGAGGGGCAGAGTTAACGTCCCAACAAAGACAAAAAAAACATTAAATAGTGTGCAGTAGGTCATCAGAACCAGTTTTCACTTCGTCAGAGCAGAACTATAATTGCACATATTTACTTTTTTCCCATTTATGATCCAACCAAACACAAGTAGGACATAAATGAGTCGCTGCAGCTGCGGTGTTATCTTGTGGAGAATCAGTAGTTCAACTCGGAGTGTTTTAACGGGTTGAACTGGTTTTGCAAAAGACACCAGTGGAGGATGTGTCATTTATCAAAACTAATCAGACGTGCACACTCTGAGGAACAGACAGACGGTGAAGCGTCTCTGCAGTGATTTCAAGATCTTACCTGGATGTGAGTTTGACAGGTAGGAATCCGAAACTGCACATTAACCTACTGAGTCACACGCTGCTGACTTCATTCACATTCATGTGGTCTTTAAATGGAGCTTTGCTGTGATAGATCAGCCCAGTTTCTCTCTGTAAAGGCTCCACAATGAGTGAGTGTGAGGAGCTGGAGGATGGAGTCTTTACCTCCAAAGCTGCTCTGTTTGGGCAAAACGACGGCCAGACCAGAGTCAACGGGTAAGATAAAGAGATCTTTAACTGGTGAATGTAGTTTTCTGAAACCGGCTCTAAAATCAGCCTCACTTGTGTTGTGTTGAAGTCAGGAGAACCAGAAGAAACCAGACTCTTCTGCACCCAGCGGGGTCTCCATGAAGAGCGACGCATCTAAACGTCAGCCGATTATGTTCCAGACTGGAGGCGACTCTGATCAGCTGATGTGAGAACTTAAAGTTTGTTTTTGTGTGTACATTTACTCAAGTACTGCACTTTGGTAGGTTTTGGGTTTCTGCTACTTTATACTTCCACTCTACTACCTTTCAGAGAGGAGACGTCGTACTTTTCACTCCACTACATGTACTTGATAACTTTAGTCATTTTGCATAGTCAGATTAATAATACAAAATATAATTAATTAAGAAATGATGACGCAAAAATCTATTGATCTCTGGGGGAATTACACAAACGGGCCCGAAAAATTAAATGATTAAATCAGTTCCACCTTCACCAGCTAAAATGAACACATGAATGCATCAATAACTACTACAGATTCATATGTATGATTCTGAAATGGGCCGTTGCTGCTTTTACTTTAACTGTAGTTTGACGCTATGTTTGTACTTTTACTTGAAAAGCAAAAGAAAAATGATTGTGCACTGAGTATTTCTGCGCTGTAAAAGTACCAGAGCTGAGTATTTCTTCCATCTGTGTCATTTCATAACCTCAAGTCTGATCCTAAATGTTTGTGTTGAAGCCAAGAGAACCAGAAGAGACCAGACTCTCCTGCACCCAGCGGGGTCTCTATGAAGAGCAACGAATCTAAACGTCAGCCGATTATGTTCCAGACTGGAGGCGACTCTGATCAGCTGATGTGAGAACTTTAAGTTTGGTTTTGTTTATGGAACTTTGTTGAACTATGAAATTAAGTTCAATTTATAACCTGGAGTTTGAGCATCAAATGTTTATGTTGTGTTTAAAGCCAAGAGAACCAGAAGAGACCAGACTCTCCTGCACCCAGCCGGCTGTCCATGAAGAGTGATGAATCTAAAGTCCACCCGATTATGTTCAAAGCTGGAGGCGACTCTGATCAGCTGAGGTGAGCTTTTAAAGCTGTGGAATTAAGTTATTATGGACTCGACTGTGTTAATCACAGCTACATTTTCAGAAACAGACCAGATTTGGGCTGAGCTAAAGTCACACCAGGAAGTGTTGTTAACGTGCATGTCTTTAGGGGAACAAACAGCACTGAAACCTGCTGGACAAGGTTTTGCAGTAACTCGTCTATTCTTAGAAGCTGCTGTTTAAAAGAAACGGATCTAAAAAGGTTTAACACTTTCTAGTGACAGTTTAGGTCACAGTTTGGCAGCTTGTACAGTGTTAAAGTGAAGGTAATCACTTAGTGTTATTGTTGCAGAGCTGATGTTATCATGACATTTCTTCTCTTTGGGAATGAACACAGTTAAGGAGTTTTTAAAAAGTCTCGAGAATAGATAATAATGTGAATATCAAAGACATGTTTGCTCTACATGAAAACATCAGAGTTAATCAGACATACACCTTGAAAGCCAAACCAGTTTCAAGTCTTTTCTCTTGTAAAACTGAACAAGGCAGTTTAGGAATGCTTGAAATGCAACATGGATTTGTGTCACTTGTCAGACAAAAGCAGACGTTTGTACAAGTGGATGAGATGTGATGAATGTTGTGTATTTTCAGACAGTCTGTCCAGGCAGATATTTATAGTGTCGCATATTGTTGGTAATGAGAAAGTAGTTATGTGACAACTTTTAAAAAAAGAGCGCTAGAGAGAAAAGTCATGAAGTCTGTCAGTGATAATCCCAACTTTGGACTGTAGTAGTTCATATAAACTATAAATTTAGTTTAAATCTCCCTCTGACTTTTCTACACGTCTTTATTTTGTGTTCAGTGTTGCTCACACTCCTCCCGACATCGACCAGAGGAGCTCAGAGTTTCTCAGCGATCAGCATCTGGA